AGGAAGTTGAACAATAGGATTGAGAGAAAGAGCCGAACCCACAATTTATAAACTGAGCGAGTATCGAAAAGAACCTTATTACAATTTGGACTCTGGTTATTGCTTGTGATGGAATGATGGAGCAGAGATCACAATAGCCACCATGGAGATGATGGTCGATAATCTGATGATGAAATAGCAGCAACTTCCTGAATTGACTGACTCAAACTAATTTCACATACCTGTCCAACCAAAAATTCTTTAGATTATCTTCATATACGAACTCTTATAATAATTTTGTGAAAACATATAGTCACTTTGTGGAACTCTGATGTACAGGGTATCCCACATAACTTGGGCCACCCCCTTATCTGGTAAACTATTATATATACAGAAAAAAGTTCAGGATAAAAGTTGTATTACTTCTTATGGAATTTATTTTTTAGATACTTTCATTTATACAGGATGGTCCATATGTCTGTGACTTATCACACATACGTTTTTTCAAATAGAATACCCTATATTTCATCATATTTTTTGGATAGTACTTCAGAAGACGAGATCAATGATATATAATGACATGGGCCTGAGATCACCCTTTTCGGATTTATACACGATCTTCTTCAATAAATTGCCAAATTTCGAAGCCCTATAGAAACGTTGCGAATGAAGTTTCCGATTCGCAGTTTCCGCTATAAATTAACAAAGTCTGTATATTATTCTGTTCTATGGTGAAAATTTAGGAATTTTCAATTTGCCAAAGGTGATGACGAATTTTGAAAACCAATAAATATCTCGAGATTTTCAAATGGAACACCCTATATTCCATTCCAAATTTGCATAGAGCTCAGGAAGACGAGTTCAGTGATATATCATAACATGTGTCTGATATCACCCGTTTCGGACTTATATACACGATATTATTCAATAAATTGCCCAATTTCAAAGTCCTATAGAAACGTTGTGAATGAAGTTTTCGATTCGCAGTTCCCGCTATAAATTAACAAATTTTGTATGTTTTCTTGATCCATGGTAAAAGTTTATGAATTTCGCATTGGCCAAAAGTGATGATGTATTTTGAAAAACGATAATTTTTCAAAAATTTTCGAATGGAACACCACCCTATTTCATTCCATCTTTGGATGAAGCTCAGAATGACGAGTTCAATGATATATTATAATATGGGTCTGAGATCACCCGTTTCGGACTTATACACGAAAATAATCAAATTTCAATGGCACAATTCTGACTGTTATCTTCATATTAGATAAAAATTTTGTAATTTCTGTGAAACAATTCGTCATGAAGAGTTCTGAAAACAACGAATATTATCGAAATTTTTATGTAATATTATACTATTATTTCACTGGAATACCTTTTGGAAATGATTGAGCACAGGTTATCACAATTCAATTTCACCTACATTTGACTCTATACGAGACCAATGCGGGAATATTCAATTAATAAAATGTATTTGAACATTTTTTTTTATTGTCTGCCTTATCAATTCGGATGCATTCATTGCAATAAATGTCATTTCCTCATAAAAATCGTATATCATTCATACTGTTCAACATTTTTCATTGAATTCTCAATGAATAAACACTGGACATAAGTAAATGATCGAAGAGAAAACCAAAACTCAAAGTGAAATGACATGCCAACGTGAGCTGAGTAGGCTGTGCACTCATATATGGGATTTTTGTTTATGTCATATCAATAACTGTCAAACCCTATTATTTATTGTTGAATTGGTGCAGAGAAACTTTTTCAAAATGCATATTTATTCTAAAGAAGAGAGATTTGATATGAGTGCTATTTATTAAAAAACAGAAATACTGTGCTGGCTTTGAGAGAATATCGTGACCGTTTTCCACAACGTGTCGTACCAAACAAAAAAATATTTCAGAGAATAGAGAACGATATCCGAACAAAAGGTATTCTCAAACCGAATAAGAGAACTAGAGGAAATGTAGTTTTGACCGAAGAAAAACAATTGGATATATTGCTGTATTTCCAAGAACATCCAGAAAACTCAATACTGAGTGCAGAACGTGACTTGGAAGTAAGCAAAACCAGCATACATAGAGCTTTTAAATTACACAAGTTCAAACCTTTTAAATTTTTATCAGTTCAAGATTTGAGTGAGGCTGACTTCAATTCAAGATTGGAGTATTGTATTTTGATGATGGATAGACATTTTGAAAATGATATTTTCAGTCATATATTATGGACCGATGAAGCAACCTTTACTACAGCGGGCATATTCAATAGAAAAAATAGTCACTATTGGACAGATAGAAATCCACATATGATAAAAAAAATTAAAAAGCAAGGTCATCGCAGTATCAATGTCTGGTGTGGAATAATCAGAGATAGGATTGTGGGCCCTATATTTTTTGAAAGAAGTTTGAATGGCGAAAGATACCTGAATATGTTGCAGAATGAAGTGCAAGCTCTGATAAACGATTTGCCAGAGTTCATTAGGGAAAATATTATTTTCCAACAAGATGGCGCTCCATATCATGGTGTGCAACCAATTACGGACTTCTTGAATCAATCATACGAAACTTGGATTGGACGAGATGGATCTATCTTCTGGCCACCACGTAGTCCCGATCTCACCCCATTAGATTTTTTCTCATGGGGTGCTTTGAAAAACAAAGTTTTTGAAAATCGATGTGACAACATAGAACAATTAAAAGAAAATATCGCATATCGCGATAAGATATACTACGTGCATAGCTGAAAATGGACGGTATATAGAAAATTTGATTTGACTACTTTGTATATTCAATTGAATACTATATCTAATTGTTACTGTTGTTATGTTTACTCGTTTTCTCAGTTACAACGTTTATGTAGGGCTCGAAATTTGGCAATTTATTGAAGAAGATCTTGTATAAATCCGAAACGGGTGATCTCAGACTTATGTTATTATATATCATTGAACTCGTCTTCTGAAGTACTATCTAAAAATATGATAAAATATAGGGTGTTCCGTTTGAAAAAACGTATTTGTGATATGTCACAGACATATGGATCATCCTGTATGAATGACAGTATCTAAAAATTAAATGACATAAGAAGTTATACAATTTTTATTCTGAACTTTTTTCTGTATATATAATAGTTTACCAGATAAGGGGGCGGCCCAAGTTATGTGGGATACCCTGTACCAGATATTGATGTATCAATATCAAAGAGTTGAATATATTGTTTGTGTATCACTTCTTCAAAGTTGAAATCCCAAGTCTGAATATGCATGTTCATGCATAGTTGAGAAGTGCTATAGACGACTACATAGCTCCTAGTGGATTTTGAACCACTTCTTGGGTACCACGATACGAGCAAGATATTATCAGAGCACAGAACAAGTGCACCATTTATGTTAGGTATTGAAAATGACCTGACCCGATGGCCGGGTTCAATCAACAATCCCCTTTAGCAATGTGAACGGCGATCTATAGTGAGTCGAGCGTTGAAGTCCATTTATACCTACTTCCGTATGTCTTGAAGAACCTATATTATTTATTGTAACTGAAATCAGCTGTTATTGTTGCCATATCATTTGTTTATTTATTAATTACTTATTACCTACCACTCTTGTACATACAAGTGAAATTGTTTGTTGAAATTTATCAGTTTTTACCTCATTCTGAACTTTTCTGATAAACAAATATTCAACTGAACGAATATATATACCTGCATATAGGAGACTAATTTCATAGGAATACTATATGTATTTCGTTGATATATATTATATACCTACTTACTCGATATCGACCTCCATTGAGGTCCTTCAGCCTTATCATTCAATATTTCGAGAAGAATTAATTTTCTAATCAATTTATCGTACCCTTTACCCACTCAAGGAGACGCTATGCACTCTCATACAAAAATAAAAGACAGAGAAAGATATATGGATGTACTCTTCCCAGGACTTGTCATTTGATATTTCTCCATAGGACTTGTGGTTTTGGGGGAAATCGCGATAAACCGTTTTTTACACTTAAAACTCACCCCCTTCCACTTCCCGACCTCAGTAAATTGTTTTTCCTTTAATTTTTGTTATATTCTCGTCCTTTCTCAACGGGTTTCATCCTACTATTTTTTTTTTGTTTCAAAAATTATCGACCCTGGTTTATATGAAGACAATTGATAAAAAAAGGGAATTATAATAAATAAAGAAAGTAGTTGAACGAGAAAAGCTTTTACAATTTCAAGGAAAATACCATACTCCCAAGAAATATTTAACACAATCATATTGTATTGCATTAGATTGATTTAGTATTTCTGTTGAGCTTTCAAGCTTATGTATGATGAATGCATATGGGTTGGGTAGTCTTTCAAATGTCTATGTTATCTATTCTATAATGTCAGTGATCTGAAGGTTCTCTTCAAACCATTGTGGTGGAGACTAGCAGAATATGGTATCTCATTCTTTTCTACTACTATTAGTTCTGGATGAGTAGAACAAGGGGTAGAATTGCGGAAAAAGCGGTCTTGTCCGATATTTTATTTTGATTGCATATTTTTTCAATGTTGCATTTGATAGTACACCATTTAGCCTTCTTAATGTTCGAATTTGTTTTTTTTTATTTCAATGATATTGGTGTGTAGAAATCTAATATGTAAAAATATAAAGTGTTTGAAAAAATTAAATTGATGGGATTTTCATAAAACCTGGAAGTTAGCCATATTGGATTGGAAGGTGATCAAATCTGAAATGGTTGCTCATATACAAAATTTCAAAAAATTTGTTCACTCCTACAAATAAGATATAGAAACAACTTTTTTTGTTAAAAATACAAGCTTTTTTCTTTTATTCTTCAATAATCCTAACTTTTATCCATGTTCGATTTTATGTACAGTCTCCCTGGAACACACATAAAAAACCCTAACACCAGAGAGGTGATGTACAAACTCATGTAGAAATCAATAATAATAAAAATTGCAAAAAATACCAAAAAGTGTTTCATAATATATTCTAATAATTTGCTATGATTCCAGGTACTCACCTGATGCTAAACAAAGTTGTGTGGCAACCTCAGGATGCCAAGCAACAACCTTCCACCTGATTCTTGAAACAGTATCTGTCAATTTTATGATAGGTTCATTCTTTCTCAAATCCCAAATCACACATTTTGAAGGAAAAGTGGAAGCTAAAATATGTTGAACTTGCTTATTCCAAGCAACAGAAAGGACATCTTCTGTGGGTTGGCTTTTTGTCCCTAAAAAAAATTGTAACAGGATTCATTCCATACGTTCCATATGACAGCATATTAGTGACACAATGTTTTCATTTCCATTTCTTTTTTTCAAAATTTCAGGTTTTTGTCCCAGGTTTAGAGATTCCATCTTGAAATCTTGAGATTTTTTGTTGTACTATCCAAAAGTATGTATACTTAGTTAGTAGATTCTGACATAATGAAAAATACTAATCAATGAGATATTTTCCCAGTTTGAGTATGCTGCTGACAAGATATCAATCAATTTCTCACTCATTCAAGTCACAACCTCTAACTCTAGGCTCTCCTGATAATTTTTGATATTTATTCCTTTTGATTTCAAAGGTGATTGATAATACATATAAAACCTATCCACTTTCATGCATTTTGCAAAAATATGTGAGCATTTTTCATAGAATATTTTTTAGAATTATGTACTGAATTCTTGTATGTTTCAACTTCTTCTAATAAGATATGGTGAATTCTTCATCACATTTTTGTGCATTACTTGGCACACTTCTAACATAATGTCACAGAAAATAGAATTACAAGATCCCTGTAGAAATTTGTGCCAAATAATGAGAAGATTATTAAAATGATAAATTTCCAAATAGTAGTAGAAAGAAACCCACTAATATTCAATGAATCTAGAGGGCATCAAATGAGAATTTCAAATGGAATCATATAGAAGTTGATTGAACACCAAATGAAATAAAAAAATTAGGTTAAAAGTTAGGCAAGTAGGTAATGAATGGGAGAATTGAGAAGTGTATGGAAGTTTGGTAGGTATACTCAAAAAATGCCTACAATATCTCAGAACTATACAGTATATCCAAGACTATCCATAACTATAGAAACTTAATCTTAACAGGAGCCTTAACACCATGATATAAGGATCAATTGAGCATATTATATTTTAACCTCATTATTATTATGTATATTTTGTATGAATCTTTGTATTCTATATTTTTTATGAGCTCAACACCCAGTACAGTGTATTTTAATGAGTATATAAATGCTATTATATTCTATTCAATAAACTACTTACCAGAGCACAACAAACAACTACTACCCATACAATTTGGAAATATAATCAAAAAAGTGTTGATTGATGGGTGCTTCTACTCAATCCAGGAATACCTATCAACCACATATTATTTAGAAACAATGCCAAGGTGACAACTTATGCCTCTTCCTTGATTGCATTTATGTATTTTCAATATAATCTGGTTTTCAATCTGTATGATAATGTTATTTATTTATTTATTTATTGAAAATACATCCAGCAGGCCTAAGCCCAATTATAGGAGTACTTAATATAGATTACAACATGTGGTTGAAAAGATAATGATAATCATAGTAACAATATAGTAGTTAAAATAATAATAATATTAATAATAATAATAATAATAATAATGAAAAATATACTTAATGAAAGTAATTAATGATATGTTCATTAGTTAGTCAGAGAGTAAATTGGAAATGGTTTGTCTGAATTGATTTTGAGTGAGAAAGAAAATATCAACTGTGGCAAGTTTATTACAATTTCTGCACATTGAGTTTATTGGAGAACGAAATTTATGTTGTGTATTTGGAGTGTTGAGGTGGAAAGTATTATGATACCGGGAGGCTACTCCTGGTATGTTGAAATCAATTAGTGAAAGTAATGTAGCAGAATCTATGGAATTATGAATAATCTTATATATGAATAATAGGTCACCTATATCTCTTCTCTTTTTCAGTGATTGGAACTTGAATTCATTCAGGAGTTCATAACTATAATTTCTTTCATGTATTTTTTGTAGAATAGGTATTTTAAGAACTTTTTTGTACCATCTCAATTGCTGAAATTGTTTGTTGGTGATATGGATTTCGAATTTGACTACAGTATTCCAGTTTACTTCTGACTAACATATTGTACAACAGACAAAGGGCATCCAGGGAATTGAATTCACTACAAGTTCGAATTAGGAAACCCAGTGATTTCATAGCTTTTGAAATTACTGCTTTGTAGTGATAAGTGAAAGTTAGTTTGTGGTCATAAACAATTTCCAAGTCCTTTTGCTTTGTAACTCTTGATAATGACTCTTAGTTAAGAAGATAATTGTACAATAGTGGGGTATTTTTTCTTGAATATGTCATTACTTTACACTTGCTAGTATTTAATGAAAGTTCATTTGCTAAACACCAATTTTCTAGTGTCTTCAAATCATTTTGTAGTGAGATATAATCTGTTGGGCCATCAATTCATTTGTATTGATGGTCCAACAGATTATATCTCACTACAAAGTATGTATTTTAGACTTTTTCATATTGTGCTAAGTATCACTAGATTTTATTTCATTTCTTTTCCATTTCTTGTATTGACTTGACCTGTCATAAACCTTCTATATGTATGTAATGTGATCAATAAAAAATCTATCTATTTATCATATTCAATTAATATTAGTAGCTGTATAAATCAATAGATTAGGTATAGGGTTCGTGGGGATGCAGCTGATGTGGGACTCAAAAGAAAACTCATTTTACTTTTGAGAAAGCTTTTGGGAATTTATTTAATTTCTTCGTCAGTCTCTCTAAAATGAAATGCACAATTAAAATATTCAAAAGAAATGGGTATTAGAAATTACTTACAGTATATGAGATTGTAGAATTGCAAATCAGAATATGTAGTATAAAATTGTGGAAAATGCATAAATTCATGGATATGAAACTAATATAACTTTGTCAAAGTGACAATATGTAACATGAAAAAATACATGGGGTTGAAAAATTAGATAGGTAAAAGATTGATGAAATGGTAAAAGGTTGATCAAGATGGAATTGAATTGATGGATATATTGTGTCTATCATGCCTTTTATTCTCTATTTCTAGAATATTTGAATAAATTACATTTAAATTTTGAATATCTGTTTTTTTATTCATTGAGCATGATAGACACAATATATCCATTAATTCAATTCCATCTTGATCAACCTTCTACCTATCTAATTTTTCAACCCCATGTATTTTTTCATGTTACATATTGTCACTTTGACAAAGTTATATTAGTTTTATATCCATGAATTTATGCATTTTCTACAATTTTATACTACATATTCTGATTTGCAATTCTACAATCTCATATACTGTAAGTAATTTATAATGCCCTTTCCTCTTGAATATTTGAATATTATAATTGTGCATTTCATTTTAGAGAGACTGATGAAGGAATTGAATAAATTCCAAAAGCTTTCTCAAAAGTAAAAAGAGTTTTCTTTTGAGTCCCACATCAGCTTGCTTTCCCACAAACCCTATACCTAATCTATCTATTTATCTATCTATCTATTCTATTCTATCTTCACAGAAAAAATGATACTGATCATTCCCTGTATGGTCTGCAAAATAGGTGCAATAACCCTTAAAAAACCCTCCAAATCTTGATAAAAAATCTAAAAATGATGAAATAAAACAATTGTGGTCCTGCTAATGGCTCATATGCTGTTGTAATTCTTCATATCATGTAGCCAATCAAAAAACTCACCTGGTGACATTGGAGAACTAGTATTATTCAAATCCCAAATGAAAATTTCTGATTCTCCAGCACCAGTAGCAAACAAATTATCCTGGAAATTATTGAAATCCATGGCATGCACAGGCCCCACATGCTTCTCCTGCTTCCCAATAATACCATGTTCCCCTTTAAGCAACTTGGAGGCACTATAAATCTGCACCAAGCCTCCATCACACCCTGTAATGATAGTTCCAGCTTCGTCTCTGCCATGAGGGCCCCAAATTATCTTGTGAAACCTCTGGTCACTGGGCACTGAAGACACCAGTTTGGTATCAGGACCGGGTTCAGAGAGGTTCAGAGAGTAGATTTCTAGGGCTGCGTTGGTGCTGAAAGAAGCATCCAATTGCTGGGCAGCTGTGCCAGCTGCCAAGTATATGGGGTGGTGGCTTTTCGGGGACCAAGCCACATTGGCTGTACGTTCAATGTCTTTCACTTTCATTGTATCTATTCTTGATAAAAAAGTGCATGTCAGGTTAGAGAATTGATATGCTTACCTATTATGGTACTGGAATTATATTACTGTATGAAATGAATAATCAGAAACCTTTACCTTATTTACTTCTTTTTATATAATTCATTGAAATCAACTTTGAATAAATATTAATTACACTGACACTTCCAACGTGGCTGTTTTGAATCTGATTTTTGAATTTTGACACCTTTACACGTCAACAAGAACCATAACCTCATTATTACCACCCAAGTGGGATAATATTTGCTGTCAAAGTCAGCTGCTAGAAAATTCTAATTCAGCGTTGCCAAGTGGGATACAGTTTATTATTATTGACGACGTAAAGACTACAGATGAGATGCCTTTTCAACTACAAACAAGTGTCTAGTAGATCAATTTGGAAGCTTTTTGAGTACGAGTTTTCAATTTGTGTGATGATACTTGGAAATGAGTGTCGGGAACTGAACAAAATTGTTTTACCTTTTTACCCAAAAGTTTGTGCAGACGATCACTCTGCATCTTAGACCATTCAGAATGTGCAAAAACTACACTTGCATGATAAGGCACTGGAATTCTTTCAACAATTTTATCAAGGCCCGACCGATAATAATACTCGTTAATTTAACGATGTTCTTTCTCAGGGTCGAACGTGCGCGAAGCGTTCTTTCGGAGCACATATATCAACTTGCTGACCTATTCAACGAACTTGAACTATTTGAAGCTTCATATTTTATACAAGAGAAAATTGTTTCAGTCAGTCTACGTTTATCCTTGGTGGAATAAAGTAGTTGTTCTCGCTGTTCATTGTGGAAGTGCCTATTTCATTTACGTACACCCGAACACTGTTTCTACAACACTTTTTCATATCAAAAGTAGGGATTCGAACCACTAGTACCATGAATGATTTATCGAATATCATAGCATAATATTTCGAGGCTTTGAATGATGAATTAGTTAGGTTTTATACGTGGAAACCAGTACAGAAGACTTATTTGGGAAGGTTTCAAATCTGAAATGTCCAGCTTATATCCAGCAAAGCGTAATCTGGGCAATAATAAACTGCGCAAAGCAAGCCTGTTCGCTGGCGATAAAGCCGAATCTTCCTGTGAGTATGCCAGAAAGAAAATATTCCTTATTCATTCTTTAGATTTTGATTTGCCCGTTGACAAAGTGCTTGAAATTATTATTGGAGACATAAGAGATGTTTATGTCAAAACAGCCGCGTTCAATAGCAAAATTGACTTAGTCAGTGATCTCTCTTAGCTTTGCTTAGCAATTATGAAATGTCGAAATCAGATGATGAAATCGGAAAATGTATCAAGCGTAGCTATCCATCCGACACTAGAGATGTCATAAAAAAATCCACAAGTTTGTTACACATGTAATACCAGGTCATCTCAGCCGTAACTGTTCCAAAAAACGAAGCAACGTATCTTCCGGATTTCTAAAAGAAGGCAAAACATTTGGTGATAAAAAAGAAATACCATTTGCTCCTACTGCAAAAAACGAGGCCATCATGAAATTCAATGCTTCCATAAAAAGAGTAACCATCAACCATCTACTTCTCGAATAAAAGATAATGATTTCTGCACTCAGTTCATGATGCAGGGCTTCAATGTTAATTTCTTGATTGATACTGGTGCAGAATTTAGTTTACTATCTATGAGAACATTGCAAGAAAATCAGACTGTCATTTAGCAGCATCTCTGGTCACTTCAAGAGGGATTGGAAATAGTACTACTTTTGCAAGTAGTAAAACAATGTTACGTCTGGGAAAAAATGGCACCAGCTTTCGAAATTTGTTTTTACGTGATCGATAGTACAACTATTGCTGTCGATGCCATATTAGGAAGGAGCCTCATTGATCACAAGGGAATTGAAATCTATACAGATTGCACCGGTAGTTGAATAATTCTGAATGAAAAGTTCAACGATTCTCCGAAAACAGTTATACCACTGTATCATTATTGTCCAAATCAATGAACACTCCATTGAAAGATGGAAACCTAGAGAAACTGATTGGCTTACTTTCGAAATTTATCAAAATTATAACGACGGGAAATTCTGTCACTCCTATAACAACTGCAGAGTTGAATATACAATTGAAAGAGGAAAGGATAATCCATTTTATCCATACAGAATGGCCTTGTGCGGAAGAACAAAATTCAATGGAATTATTAGAGGTTTCCCCTACCATTAATTCAAGATCAAATAGACAATTTGAAAAACAACAAAACCAAATTCCCATTGCACCAAATTTTATAGAGAAAACGGCTTTTGTCCCTCCGGATGGGCAGTAGGTACGAATATCTTCGAATGTCTTCTGGAATTTCAAATTTTCCTGCAGTATTTCAAAGTCTTAGGTGACCTCAAAAAAAGATGCATTACTTCATCTTGACGACATCCTGATATTCTTTTATTTTGTCTCGAAAGGTCTTGAGAAGTTGGATCGTGTGCTTACGTCCCTTTCAGCAGCTGGATTCTCCTTGAATATCAAAAAATGTCATTTTCTCGAAACAAAAATTGGTTATTTGAGACAGGAAATTTCGAAACAGGGAATAAGACCTGGACAAAATGAAGTCGAAGCATTATTGAAAGCATCGGACCCAAAGAATGTCAAACAGGTCCACCAGTTTATGGGATTAGTGAACAATTTGAGTAAATTCTTTCCTGAACATTCTTCACGAATAGGGCTTGCATCACAAAATCAACAGAATTTGATGAGAAATTTGTCTGGGGCGAAGATAAAAAAATAGCTAAAGCATATGTTTGTGCATTCCTAATTTTCCGTTCCAAGATCACCATTAGAGCTTCATACGGACGCAAGTTCGATTATTGGCTTTCGGTGCTATTTTTTTCCAGCGACATGGAAATATCCAACTCAAGGTGATGTATTTTTCGAAACAAACCTCCAAAGAAGAGCGTATACCCAGATACACCGATCTCCTTGAGAACTGACGGCCACTATCGAAAATGTAATGCCTTCATGGCGTCCAGGTGTCCAGGCGACCGCCAGACGGCCATAATACACATTACCGGCGATTGAATTATTGACTTTGGTGTGCTACAGCGGCAACAAATTTCGATGCTTCATATTGATGGGAGCGCTCAGCCATCAACGTATATGCGCTAGCAAATCGGTATCAAGGAGGATGAGTTTTTCGAGCACTTCCCAAGTATCTGACCGCGAACTACAAAACGTGCGTATTTTGACCATTGCTTGAAGTGTCTTGTCAGCAAAGCCCATAGTGGTCCTAAACGAGGATTATTGCATCCAATTGACAAAAAGCCCATTTCTTTTCGAACAGTGCACGTAGACTGTGTATCCAGCGAAGGGTTTAAACACCTACTATTGTTAATAGACTCATTCACAATATTTTTTATCCCTCTCAAAACACTTTCTGGTACCAAAACGTGCAATGCCTTGAAATTACACTTGAGTTTGTTCGATAACACAAAAACCTTCATTTTTGATAGAGGTTCAAATTTTACCGACAAGTCTGTTAATACAATGTTATCAGAATTAGGTATTCGACAACACTTGATAGCGAAAAGTGCACCTCTCAGTAAAGGTCAAGTTGAAAGGTATGTGGCAACCGCTACAAATTTTTTCAAAACAGAAATAAATGAAAAATCAGAATGGCCGAACCTAATCTTGAAATTGCAAACAACTCTTAATACAATAGGTATCCAAAAACCGACGGGATTTTCACACATATTTATGTGTTAACTGGTTCGAATGGTAGTACTCCTGATATAAAGATACTGACTCAAATGCATACCTGCTCTACACGTTCCGAAAAGTTTAGAAGAAAATAGAAAACTGGCATACGAACGTAGGAAACAGACCGATTACGCGGAAAACTTGTTCGATGCTGAGAGAAGATCTAATGAAACGATCAATGTTGGATACTTAGTATTCCATCAGTCTGGAGACAATCATCTGGCGAAACTTGAAAAAAATATGAAGGTCCTTTTGAGGTTCTGGTGGCTCTCCCTAACGATATATTTGAATTGAAGAATTTGGCAACCAACCGTAAGAGAATAGTCGCAGGAGATATGATCCGAATATGGCCCGGTGAATTTTCCGAACCATGAAATATAATGACTGGTAAATATTAGGTCAACATGGCATTAAATCGTAACGCTTTACAAGCTTTGTTTGTTGAAAGCCGAACTCCGATAGAACAGTTGTATTTCGTAACGCTTTAGAACAAACTTCGTTTATTGAATTGAACAGGTTTATTTCGTAACGCTTTACAAACTTTGTTTTTCGTAACTTTTCACGAACTTCGTTGAAAGATGAACTTCGATAAAATCGTCGTATATTTCGTAACGTTTTACGAAGCACATTTGTCGAAAGTTTTGAAATTAGCCTGAATAAGCATCACTTCCACAGTATTCTTGTTAATTCTAGAATGAATTAAATGTCAGTCTGGCCATGTGAGCATTTGCCTCGAATTTGTATCTTATTATTACTATTAAATATATTATTATTATTGTTAGGTAGGTATGTGATCATCGTTATCGTTCTGTGATTCATATATTTCTGGCAGATGATTAAGGATGAGGTGATATAAAAAAGAATTGTATTAGTCAGTCTAGGATAAACTAGATAGAATAAAGTGGTTGTTCTCGCTGTTCATTGTAGACCACTGTTTCTACAACACGGTTCCCCCACTATATATATACTCATATCTGATCGTTTTTTACGTTAAAATCATTCTTCAGCAATATTCACTGAAAAGATGGACCAAAAAGGTGTAAAATTATACCAACCGTACAGACAAAACTATTGAAAGGGGCAAAAAACTCAATATTTTCAACAAAACAAATTTTTTCGAAAACGGTAAGACTTTTATGATGGGAATTTTGTCATAGCAGGTGGGTTATTCTTTAATCTACATTCTCCCTAGGTTTGACCTGGTCTTCACGGGACACCCCTGTATAGAAAAAAAAACAAATACGACAGTTATAGTAGAATTGTTTTCATATCTATGGGGTGTTCGAATTCCAAGATATATCGGTTGATGATGGTTTGGTTTTAAAGGGACACTGTATTTTATCGCATTTCTCGTTCTTCCTGAAGGGTCCATTTTATCAAACCATCATGCAAAGGTAATTTCGACACAAAAACATCTTCGAGAAGAAATTCGCTTAGTTTCAAAACATAGCGATCTTTACTACCGCACGATAGAAGTTCGCATATGATCATAATAATGATGATCTCTCTGAGATTTCGCTTACAATACCAGTCAGAGAAACTCGACAGGCCCAGTCAGCACATCCTTTTGTTGTTCACTTTGTAAGATGTTGAACAACAAATTCGTTCGTCTATATAGAACGGCAAAGATTTGGAACACTTTGCCAATGAAAGCATTCCCTAGAACTCATTCATAACCTCCGTTTTGGTAAACAAAAAATAATGTTAGCCCTCACGCTTCTGCTCAACGCGCAGAAACCTCCAAACTGTCGTTCATGACATCGAGTCATGTTTCTTATTTGTGCTCGAAGACATAAGTAAGAATGAGTACAGAAATACAGAACCGAAATTCAGTGCTTCTGTCGTTCATTGACAGCATTTCAACGATTTTTGTAGCAAGCTGGCAACACTGCAGCAATCGAATACCTGTCATTTGTCATTAGTGTCACTCTCATTTTGTCGAATGTCAATTATCAAAGTTCGAACTGTCGAAAAGAGCGAAGTTGGAGAAATTTTAAGGAACTTAACAAAATTTTGTCGAATTTGTGAACGTATTGTGTTAATTCTCCTGTTTTCGTAAATTTCCAAACTGCCGCGATCACAGGATATGTCCGTTTTTGGTTCGTTGATGGGCAACATGGAAGACGATCCAATTTTCGGGTAAGAACAGTCGCATTATACCCCAAGAATATCGACCACTTTCTAGACAATAGCAATACATATAAGCACGGCCATGCTGCTTTCCAGAATCATTTCATTCTATTATTTTTCAGTTCTCACATGAGGCACATGCGTCAAATGAACAACATGATGAATTCCCTGTTTTCTGATCCCTTTGGCATGATGGGGGGGCCCATGATGGGGTTCGGAGACTTCGAAAATCGTGCACTCACACACCGTCACCACAACTCTCTCATGTCGCCTTTTTCAATGCCAGTTATGCCCAACTTCAACCGACTTTTGAGCGGTTCTCTGGACTCTATGCCCAATGCTGGAAACTACAGCAGCTCCAGCACTGTAATCAGCATGACTTCTGGTCCAGATGGTCGTCCCCAGGTGTACAAAGCTACTTCGAGTACTAGAGTGGCTCCTGGGGGCATCAAAGAGACCCAAAAAACAGTGACAGACTCTGTTACAGGCACAAAAAAGATGTCTATTGGGCATCATATTGGAGAGAGGGCTCATATCATTGAGAAAGAACAGAATATGATAACTGGGGATAGAGAGGAAAGGGAGGATTTGATTAATATAGATGAGGATGAGAAGGAGTGTTTCAACAATGAGTGGGAGACCAAGACCTATTCTAGGTCTGAGATTCCAAGGATTACTGGTAGCTCTTCTAGAAACAGACATTCTTATGTTCCTGCTATTACTGCTGGACCCAGGTCAGTTTTTAAAATTAGTATGCTATTTATACATTGGCAGTTTGAAAGAATAGAAAAGCTGATTTTTGCACATATTATTGTCTGCCTTTTTTATTTTTCTCTTTCAAATTGATCCTTACCTGATCATTTGTCACAGTTTGAGACCCTTGAATTTAGAGGTGAGTATGGCAAAAAAATGATATCAATTAAATATCTATTCAGGCTAGTATTCAGGCATGTGTCAGCTTTTTTCATTGGAGAAAAGGGTATTTTCATGGTGGCTATCAAAAGCTTTGGTGGAGTAAGTAAATGAATATATAGTTATACTAGCTGACCTGGCAAACATTGTTTTGCCATAAACCTTATTCTGCCATGCACATTATTTCTTGTAAATATTTGTTTAGTTGAATATTTCACAAAACACTCTTATTATTCAATTTTCTTTCTTCATTTTAGTTTGGCTATCCATAAAAAAGCATGTTCCTTTAGTTTTCCAAAATATTCTATTCATTTTCTACTTCTTTTCAGTTCAGCAATATATCTCCATTTTTTTTAAATACTCTTCATTTCCTACTTCTTCTTAGTTTGGCTATCCATAAAAATGTGTTTCTTCAGTTTTTCAAACTACTATTTATTGTCTATTTCTCTTTAGTTCAACAATCTATCTCTTCAGATTTTTAACTATACTATATATTATCTACTTCTGTTTAGTATAAACTCAAGTTTGGCTATCTATAAAACTGTATGTCATCATAGGTTTTCAAACTACTATTTATTATAAAGCTCCTTCGCCATATTGGATCCACTATCTTCCCAATTTTTATGAAAAAATCATAATCTCCAACCCTGGAAACCCCCATATACAAATTTTGAATAGAATCATCAATCAATCAGCCATTATCAATGTCCTAATTTTGACAATGAAATCATAATCTCCGACCCAGAAAACTCTCATACCAATTTTGAATAGAATCAAATCCTAATCACAAAACCTAATATTGGATCCGCCATCTTGAATTTCCAAATTTGTGACAAAAGAATCATAATCTCCAACCCCAAAAATCCTCAGATACAAAATTTGAATGGTCTTTGATTATAATTACAGAACTCTATCGCCATATTGGATCCGCCATCTTAAATTTTCAAGTTTTCACAAAAGCATCATAATCTCCAACCCTGAAAACCCCCTGATACCAATTTTGAATAGAATCAGATCATGATAAAGAAACTCGTCCTCCATATTGGATCAGTCATTTTGTGTTTCCTAATTTTGTTGAGAAAGTCATAATCTCTAACTCCCAGATACCAATTTTGAATAGGATCGGATCATAATTAGAAAACTCGTCAGCCATATTGGATCCGCCATGTTGAATTTCCTAATTCTGACGATGGAATCATAATCTCCGACTCCGAAAACCCCCATATACCGATTTTGAATAAAATTGGACTATATTTTGAAAATTTGTCCGTCATATTGGATCCGCCATTTTGAATTTCCTAATTTTTACGACGGAATAATTACAAAACTCGTCCTCCTTATTGGAACCGCCATCTTGAATTTCTCAATTTTGATAAAAGAATCATAATCTCTGACCCCCAAAACCCCCAGGTACAAATTTTGAATTAAATCGGATCACAAAACTCGTTCGCCATACTGGATCCGCCATCTTGAATTTTCAATTTGAAAAATAACATGATCGATTCTCATAGCTACTGAATACGCACAAAAATTTTCATACAAATCGGTCAATGCGTTTCGGAGGAGTTTAGCAACAAACACCATAACAGGTATAGGAAAATTTTATATAAGGTGTTTCAGATTTAAATGTACAGAAGATACTTGCAGATTGTGGAAACTTTGATGGTTTCAAATCATGCCTCATCCATGTGTCTACCGTCTTTTAAAACTTAGATAAAGGACGTTATCTTGAGTTTGGCAAAATCTTCATCTGGTCTTAACTAAGTAGTTTGTAGAAATATTCCTCTCATATTACTAATCAAAACCAGATACAAATCTAGAACAGAATCCAGGTCAGTCTCAAGGAAAAACAGAAAACTTCATTTATCCTAAAAACAACACTCTGTATTGCAACATTTTGTGGATCTGTTTGGATATTTATTTTTAAAGAGCAGGAAAAAATTAATGAACCGACTTACTTTTTACGAGCGCGCATCCGATTTGACATATGGTTTTTTATTATTTTTCGAAATATTCAGCTCCATTTCAAGGCATTCTCATTGAACTCGTAATTCAAAATCCAATTTTGATACAAAAAAATAACAGTCTCCCAAGTTCAACATCATCAGAGTCAAATTAGGTGAATTATCTATAGATTTGTTCATTTGACATAATAACTTCAATGATATCAGAAAATGTTTTATTCTCCACCATTTATTAATCATAAGCCATGGTATAGTATGCTGTGCAAAAATTTTTGTAATTCTGTCGGAATTTGTTGCACAGTCGACTTTACCGCTGCTCATGAATTATTAATAGTGAAGAATAAAATGATCCTGGAAAATTTCTAAAATCCTGATCCTGGAAAATTTTTAAAATCATAGACAAGTTATTCTGTCAAACAAACAGATCTATCAATGCTTCACCTAATTTGACTCTAATGATGTTGACATTCAAAGACTGTTATTTTTTTGTATCAAAATTTCATGTTGAATTAACAGTTCCATAAAAATGCCTGGAAATGGAGCTGAATATTTCAAAAAATAATAATTAACCATTAGTCAAATTGGATGCGCGCTCGTAAAAAGTAAGTCAATTTATTAATTTTTCCGCTCTTTCTGAATTCCAGAACAGTATCATAAAATGTTGCCATACTGAGTGTTGTTTTTGTAATAAAGGAAGATTTCTGTTTTTCCTTAAGACGGACCTGGATTCTGATCTCGATGTTTTGATGGGCATTATAAGTGGGATATTTCTACCAAGTATGAACAAATTATGACCAGTTGAATATTTTGCCAAGATCAAGATAAGGTCCTGTATCTGAGTTATAAAAGGCGGTAGACACATCAATGGGGAGTGATTTGGAACCATCAAAGTGTCCTCTATTCACAGGTATCCTATGTACATTTAAATGTGAAAGACCCTGTATATTAGATTAATAGTATTGAAATGAGAGACTGAGGGGCTTTCCATAAGAAATTCCAACATGATTATAAATCAATATATTGATATCTAATTGCCTTCATTTGACGGATGTGAAAGCAGCCACGGTTTGTCATCTACAGTTTTACGGTTTGGCAACATTGTTAACCAACATGAAGTGTGGATATAAAACCGTGGAATTCGTGGATGAGATCGTCGCCACAGTTATTCAACCACACTTGTTCAATTTTGGTCATTTTAATCTATCTGAGCTTAATTGTTTATCTACATATCACAAGACCCATTGTCGAGTCATCAGTGGGGTGAAAATTGTCTTTTTAATTATTCAACATTTTTTGGGATTTTCTCCTCATTTCTATAAAATAAAAATATGAATATTATACAATATGTGTAGTAAGGACAAATCAGATTTGCCCCAAAATGTCACTGCGTTTAAGGAATTTAATATTTAATATTTAAAAAAATTCTAGAAATCCTATTAGGCGATGGCACGCGTTCTCATCGATCATTACTGATAGATATCCTCTAGATTCTAGATTGATTTAGTACATATCGCAAAACTCATTGTCGCGTCGTCAGAGGGGGCGAAATTGTCAGTTTGATATTTTAAAAAATTCCAACAATCCTATTCACCATTTTTGGAAGCTGTCAAAGCAGCCTGTTTATTTTGTTTACATTGGTTCAAATTTGTTTTTTTGTTTGTGCTTATTGTTCATTTCATCAAAACAAATCGCTCAGAAGTGTTCAAGTTGTTGCCACCAGGTGGGGCGACGTGTTAATTTCTATCGTGAATTAGGCGAAGGCAGGCGATCTCATTGGCCATTACTGAGAGATTGATTACCTACATATCACAAAAATCATTATCGGATCGTCAGAGGAGGCGAATTGCCAATTTAATATTTAAAAAAATTCTAACAATCCCATTAGGCGATGGAACGCGATCTCATTGATCATTACAGATAGGTATCATCTTGATTGATTCCTCATATATTATTATTACAATAGTCATTATCGGATCGTCAGAGGAGGCGAATTGCCAATTTAATATTTAAAAAAATTCTAACAATCCCATTAGGCGATGGAACGCGATCTCATTGATCATTACAGATAGGTATCATCTTGATTGATTCCTCACATATTATTATTACAATAGTCATTGTCGGTTCGTCAACGGGGGCTTAATTGTCAATTTAATATTTGAAAAAACTCTAACAATTCCATTAGGCGATGGGACGCGATCTCATTGATCATTACAGATAGGTATCATCTAGATTGATTTCCTACATATCAAAAAAGACATTGTCGGGTCGTCAGAGGGGGCGAAATTGTCAATTTGATATTTAAAAAAAATTCTAATTATCCCATTAGGCGATGGCACGCGATCTCATTGGTCATTACTGATAGATATTATCTAGATTGATTCCTCACATATCATAAAAGTCATTGTCGGGTCGTCAACGGGGGCTTAATTGTCAATTTGATATATGAAAAAACTAACAATTCCATTAGGTGATGGCACACGATCTCATTGATCATTAGTGATAGATATCATCCAGATAGATTTCCTACAAATCACAAAAGACATTGTCAGGTCATCAGAGTGGGCGAAATGTTCAATTTAATATTTTAAAAAATTCTAACAATCGCATTAGGCGATGGCACGCGATCTCATTGGTCATTACTGATAGATATCATCCAGATTGATTTCCTACATATCACAAAAGTCATTGTCGGGTCGGGTCGCCCTCTCTGACGACCGGAAAATGACTTGTGATATGTAGGGTATCAATCTAGATGCTATTCATCAGTAATGACTAAAGAGATCACGTGCCATCGCCTAATAGGATTGTTTGAAGTTTTTAAAATAATAAATTTCCATTGTAATTGTACAGGGCTAGTTTTATTAATGTGAACCCCCTTTATCTTTTTTGTTTCATACTCAGTCAAAAAAAAAAAGCTGATTTCATACAATTTCTCATACAGATTTCACTCAAATGGACAATGATGCAATATCTCTTCAAATATACAGGGTATAGAAAAAAATATTTTTTTTTCGAACCAAATGCGCCGTATATTTTGATAGATTTGAATTCCTCAATTCATCCTGATTTCAAATATATGATATAAGGGATTCATATCTAGCAGAATATACAGGACAATCCATTTGAGAAGTATATATATTTTCTGAATTCCCTGTATATTTGAAGAGATATTGCAACACTGTCACTATGATTGAAACCTAAATGAAACATAATTGTATAATATCTTTATCAGTTTTTTTTTTGTGAAAAACAAAAAAGATTAAGAGGGGTTCACATTAATAAAACCAGCCCTGTACAAACCTTGGTACAAACCTACTTGATGAAATCAGCATATAAGTAGTATTATTTGCTCATGAAGAAGTTAGGTGATCAATCCCTGATCAAAAATCATTTTTATTCATGAATCTAATAATATTGTTATTCCACCACTAGCTATAAAATCTAACATTATTTACTCCTTTTCGATGCCTAGAGTGTGTTTTTACTACCATTTGTCAATGAAGACATAGCCACCTATGTTATAATTAACCCGAATTCACTGTTCTGATGCGTGATTCGCATTAAGCGCACTGGAATCTAGTAGGTATTCATCAATAACGACTTGTCATATGCTATGACTACTAGATTTTAAGTATTGAAAATGAGTGCTTTTATAGTGACAATAGGTTCACAGAACTAAAATGATTGGAATGTATTGCTAGTGGTAAAAAAATTTGAAATTTATCTTGGTAGTAATAGTACGTTATACACCTAGATAAAGTGGTATTTTCAATCCCTAGACAAAAAGTTTGTAGCCCGACCAACAAGAGGGTTATAATTTGTCGAGGGATTTAAAAACACTTTAGTCCTGAGGTGTATAGACTATCTTATGCACTTGAGGATAGGTAAAACGTTAAAAATAACGAAAAAAATTGAATGAAACTAAACGGTAGGTACTCTATTTCTAAAACGTCATCGAAGGGGTTGATTGTAACCATATCAACTACCTCAGTAACTATGGTGATCCAGATTTCTTTGAGAAAGTGGTACTTCAAATCCATAGGGTTTAAAGTAACTTTGAATCCCTAGGGATTTAAATAACCCTTTTTTTCCCGAAAATAGGGATTAAAGGTACCCTTTGAATCCCTGAAGTGCATAAAGAATATAATTACCATGGGACCTTATTATACTTCTCCGCTGAAGCCTCAGAATATAATCTTGGTCCCTGGGTTATACTGATATCTTTTACTACCTTGGTGTATAGATAGATAGATATATAGATAGATAGAATTTATTGATCCACATAAAAGGGTGTAGAACATGTCAAAACGAGCACATATTCATATTCAATACCTAGGTATTTCATTCTGTACAGGGTGCGCCTCTTAAAATGGAATCTCCTCTTAACTCTTTCGTTTTCAGAGATATGAAAAAATTTTGAATGAGAAAGTTGTGTCAAACGACCCAAAGTTTTATTTCGTGAAGTTGTTTCATATACAGGGTCATTCGTTTTTCCAGAAAGGACATCAACCTTAATTTTTTCAATGGAACGCCATATTTAATTTACAACATGTCGATAGAGCCATCCTTTCTGATTTCAAAAATATATATGAGTTGCATATTTGAATGAGAAATAGTTGAGTTATTGATGATCAAAATTTACCAAAATACCACATTATGAACCTTCACTTCATATCATCTAAGGTAAGTTGAATATAGTGGGCTTTGAAATAAAGTTTATATATTGTTCAAGCTCAAAGGAAATGTGATAGTATTGTTTTATCATGGTATTGGAATAGTTCAATCTTGATGAAAAAAAATATGAATAGACAGTTTCATTGGAAGATTCGGTATTTTGGTTAACTTTGATAATCAATAACTCAATTATTTTTCAACCAAATATGCGAATCATATATATTTTTGGAATCAGAAAAAAAGGCTCTATCGAAATGTCAGAAAATATATAGGGTGTTCCATTGAAATAATCATAGTTGATGTCCTTTCCAGAGAAACGAATGACCCTGTATATGAGTCAACTTCACGAAATAAAAGTTCGGATCGTTTCAAGCAACTTTTCAATTCAACATTTCTTCGCATCTTTGAAAACAAAAGATTTAAGGAGGGGTTCCATTTTAAGAGGCGCACCCTGTACACTCTTTACACTAAATAACTAATTGCCTACAGTCCCCAAAAGCGAAAATTCCCATGTGTTTCCAACTTCATGGAGACCATTATGACTTTGCCATTTTTCTTTCTGTGCTAAATGTTTGTTTTCTTCATGTTGTGGTGCATGTGTAGTAGTCGCCGGCACAAGGAAAGGTCTGCCTCCCAGCTGGTATCTGCCCGTAGAAGTATAAGGTCCCCACAGGTAGCATTGCCCACATCAAGTACAACTAGGTAGGCAGGAATGAAAATTGCTGGGAAATGAATTAATACGGGTAACTTGAGGTTTTTGTACTAACACAGAGGTGGTGGTTTATTTTTGGAAAGCTAAACACTGGATTTTTTGGGATTTTCTCTCCTCCTTTCTATAAAATGAAGATATGCGTATTATTGCAATATACAGGGTGTTTCATAATTGAATGCTGATCCTTATGGGCGATAATCCTTGGATGATTTCAAAGAGAAAAGTTCATATCAACATATGTCCAAAACCTCTTAGTTATTGAGCTACAGGGTGATGAAATTTCAAGAAAAGAATTAGTTTTTCATCATAATTTTTCATCACTCTTAGATATTGTTATGATATTTTGTATACACCTTTTCATTATTGAGGAGCATTCTTTTAAGTGAAAGATATTTAAAAATTCTCACCAGTGGCGTCCGTACGGGATTTGAACTGACAATTTTTGATGAAAAAAATAGTACGCCACTGATTTTTCTGAGAACAAGATTTTTTTTTTCAATTCTTATTCATTTTGGAGCAAATTTGGTTCCAAGAACTTACTTTCATACAACGTACCGTTTTCGCGTAAAAAAATAAAAACCAAAGATATAGTTTTTGATAATTCAGTAGACACCCACTATAAGTGGAAACACATTTTGTTTTGGAACGAAAATCAAACTTTCACTTTTACCACTGATGTCCCCGTAGACCTGATATTGAATGTTTTGTTTACAAAAACCGAGGGGTAAATCACGGGCTGAAATTGGGTACACTAGACTTCCTTTATTGAAAGAATTCCCGGAATTCCTGGGACTACCCAAGGAATTCCTAGGATTTCCCAAAGACTACCCGGAATTCCTGGGACTACCTAAAGACTACCCGGAATTCCTGGGACTTCCCAAGGAATTCCTAGGAATTCCCAAAGACTACCCGGAATTCCTGGGACTACCTAAAGACTACCCGGAATTCCTGGGACTTCCCAAGGAATTCCTAGAAATTCCCAAAGACTACCTGGAATTCCTGGGACTACCTGAGGAATTCCCAGAGACTACCCGGACTTCCCAAGGAATTCCGGGATTTCCTAAAGATTTATCATACATCCCAAGGAGTTTTCAAAATTTTGCGTAAAAATAGGTAGATTACGAATGAGTTCCATTCGTGAAATGCAAAAAAAGTCAATCGATAGGTAGGTTGAATTCAAACCCAAGGACGAAACTTGGGCAATGAAAAAACATGTATAGGGATTAGTGATAAGTACTGGGATAAGTATCATTAACACTACTGGGTGTTTCTGAATTCAAGTGACAGAAGCCTATACAGGTTTCTTCCCATTTAAATAAAAAATTAGTAGGTATGTATACCATTTACAGATTTTGCAAAACAGTTCCGGTACACATTGAAAAAAAATCTTTTGCCGATTTGAATGATAATTATTTTAACAGCTCATTGAAGTCTTCTTGAGATATCGTTCGGAACTCTTTAATTTGCCCAGTTATTCAAGAATTGTGTTTACGACAAGTGTTTCACTTTTGTTCACGAAGAATACCATTAGTCGATTTTCCCAATTCATTTCAGATGAAACAGTTGAAAATACAGGGTGGGCCACCAGTAACGCCCCGGTCTCTAGAAGGCTAACCACTTATCTTCTTGGAATTCTTCCTCTCTAGGTAGTTGCATGTCAACATAGGCTACCATTTAAAATTATTTCGAAACATACAGGGTGTCCCCAAAAACCATGAAACACTGAAGTGAAACTTTTTTCTATCTAACACCCTATATATTATTTCATTTTGAGATTCTCCCTGGTGAGCTGATTTCAACAATCCATCATACTTGGGGTCTAGCAGTTATAATTACTGAAATATAGGGTGTGAAAAATCGAGATTTTTCAAGTTCAAGAATTTTTTGTGTCGAAACTATTCATAATTGGTCAAAACGGCTTACATGTCCCTTTATCAACTTTTGATTAACTATCTACTGATATTTGATTGGGACATATACCGGGTGATCAAGATTCTGAATTCTGCACCACCCTGTATTTGTTTCAATTAAATGTCAGTAGATAGTTGATCAAAAGTTGAGATAGGGACATGTGAGCCGTTTTGACCAATTATGAATGGTTTAGACACAAAAAATTCTTGAACTTGGAAAATCTGGATTTCTCACACCCTATATCTCAGTAATTATAACTGCTAGACCCCAAGTATGATGAAATCAGCTCACAAGGGAGAATCTCAAAATGAAATAATATATAGGGTGTTCGATAAAAAAAAGTTTAACTTCAGTGTTTTATGGTTTTTGGGGACACCCTGTATGTTTCGAAATAATTTTAAATGGTAGCCTATGTTGACATGCAACTTCCTAGAGAGGAAGAATTCCAAGAAGATAAGTGGTTAGCCTTCTAGAGACCGAGGGGTTACTGGTGGCCCACCCTGTATAGTGAAACCAAGATAAGGTAATATAGGGATCTCGGGAACAGGAAAAGAAACGGATTCGGTTAAATGGGAAACAAGTTGCGCATTTTGATGATCATACCAACGGCTTTGGAAAATTTTCACAATTGTTTTTAGTTTTTCAGTTATAGAGGGTGTTCCTTAAGTACGTGTAGAAAATTCAGGAACATGTTGCTGACGTCAAAATAAGAAGAAAAGTTCGTATAAATATATATCCGAAAGTTATCCGTTTCGGAGATACAGAGTGTCAATTCTTATTTCTTATTTTTGTTTTTTGTTAATAAATTCCAAAATAATTGTGATAATCGAATGAAGTTTGGTAGTTTGTCTCTTCCGTGGAGGTGGCGCTACCTACATGTCTTTTGAATTTTTGAAAAGTCATAACTTTTCTGTTCGTACCTGTATCACGCTTTATAGTAAGAAAATAGATTTCTAGGACATTTTTGTGTAAAAGGTATATTCTTGGTAGAGGTCGATGCGAGCAACTGTTTTCGAGATATTGGGATTTGAAACAATCGATGCATTTGAATCAATTCCATTGGGCTCGTAAGTCGACTCTAAGCAGTTAGAAAAGATACGTCAGTGCATTTTTCTTCTTTCATTCAATATTCTCCTCCATTCAACAATTCAACATTGGAATGTAGCCAAATGATGATTCTTACTTCTTTGTATCTATTTTTTTGGCCATTTTGAACAATTAGTTTAATCAATTCCCTCAACTAACTGTTTTAGTATTTATTTGGTCTCAATTACAGTTATTATTATCAGTATTAATAAAAAAAAATAATTTTCCTTACCTACTTGATAAATCAATTTTGAATTCCTACTTCTTCGTCATTCCAAATTACTTGCATCGATTATTGAAAATCCCAATAACTCGAAAACTGTTGCTCGCAGAAGAATATGTTTTTTACACGAACGTGTTCTAGAAAACTATTTTTCCTACTATAGAACGTGATACAGGTACGCACAAAAAAGTTGTGACTTTTCAAAAGACTCAAAAGACATGTAGGTGCCGCCACCCTCACGAAAGAGATGAACTAACATAAAATTTGATATTGTCATCGAAAAATACCCCGACATACCAAAATTCATTTGAATATCACAATTATTTTGAAATTTATTAACAAAAAACAAAAATAAGAATTCAACTTTGACACTCTGTATCTCAGAAACGAATAACTTTCGGACATATATTTATACGAACTTTTCTTCTTATTTTGACGTCAGCAACATGCTCCTGGATTTTCTACACGTACTTGAGAAACACCTTGTATATGGAAAGTGAATTTTTGGAATATCTATTTGTTTTTCTAAGTTATTATCAGATATACAGGGTGTTGCGGAATTCGACCGACAACGCTAGACAGGTGATAGCCCAAGTTATTTCATAGTCACTGAAATAGGGACATACGGTCTTCAAGTGCTCAGTTCTCGAGATACAGGGCGTTGAAGTTGAGAAATTAGAATAGTTTTTTCGCAATATCTCGAGAAAAATTTAATATAATGCATTCAAATTCCGTATATGGTTTCATATTCCAATGGTTAATTTTTTGTCCAGAAAGGCATTCCGATAATTTTATCCAGAGGTGCGCTACAGAGGGTTGTAATAACATATCCTCCCATATTTTCTACGCCACTGATGGAATTTCGATTATTTCCGATTTCTCGAATTGATTGTTCAATTATGTTGAAAAATTGCATCACTTTCAACTGAGCTAAAAGGAACAGTTATCGAGATATTTGACCCAAAATAGAAGTTTCCATAGTAATTTTTCATCTTCCTCAGTAGTAGAAAATTACCAAAATTGTTGTTTCCTCTCTATTCGTGGAATTACTATTTCTGTTCAGCTATAGAATGAGATCTGAATAGTATCTAGTCTACTCAACACGAGAAAATTATTTAAGCAATTTTCTACTACTGAAAATGATGAAATATTACTATGCAATCTTCTATGTTGGGTCGAATATCTCGAAAACTGTGCATTTCAGCACAGTTGGAGGTAATGCATTTTTTTAACTAAATTGAACAATGAATTCGAAGAATTGGAGATTATCGAAATTTAATCAGTGGCGTAGATAATATGGGAGGAAAAGTTGCCACAACCCCCTGTAGGGCACCACTGGATAAAATATCCGGAATAGCTGCCTGGTCAAAAAATAACCCATTCGAGGATGAAACCATATACCGAAGTTGAATGCATTATATTCAATTATTCTTGAGATATTGCGAAACAACTATTTTAATTTCTTAGCTTTAACGCCCTGTATCTCGAGAACTGAACACTTGAAGACAGTATGTCCCTATCTCAGTGATTATGAAATCACGAGGGCTATCACCTGTCAAGCGTTGTCGGTCGAATTTCGCAACACCCTGTATAGAAAACTCTAAAAATACTCTTACATGGCATCTCTTGATGAGATATAACGTGGTGATATTGATTTCTCCACGCGACGTTTCTTATTCGTAGAGAAATCAACAACTTTTTTTCCAAATACGGCCCTGATTATCTGTTCACAGATTTCGAAAGTTTTTTTTATTCTGAGTTCAACCATGGGAAATTATTAA